CTGGGATTCCGGCAAAAAACGAAAACCTCAATAAAAGTTGTTTTCCTAGGAAAATTCTAAATGCTAAATTTCATAGTTAATGAAGGTGACATAAGGAGAAGTTTTAATTAAACGTACATTAACTTTGATCTTGCAATTTCCTTTGTTATCATCTTTGTTCATGACTTAAAAGTTTCCTAATGCCTGCAAAGCTCCTAAGTAACAGGCACTGTGAGCTGGTGGCAGCAGAGGTAGGAACCCACTCCCACTACCTCCCAAACCACTGTACCCTCTGAGAACACCAGTCCTTCAAAGGGAGGAGAGAACTCCCGCCACTGGCACTGACAAACAGAGCCCGTCTCCTGCCCACTCCCACCTACACGGATGCTGCTAATAGTGGAGGTGATGGGAGCCCAGGGGGTCTTTCCCCCACACACACCCCCGATTCCTGAAATAACCTGCTGTGGAAGGGGCTGTCCCTTCCCTCTTTCAGCACCTCCCTCCCATCAGCCCTTCCGGCAACTCCATAAATCATCAAGGCTCTGCACAAAATTCTCTTACACGGTTTCCCAGAAAGAATCAGTATTAAGTAAAAAAAAAAAAAGGGAAGGGTGGTGCTTCTTAGAGGTTGACCCAGGCATGAGGAGAAAGAAACCAAAAATGTAAGCTGGGGACTACAAGCTGATGCCTACCAAGTTTTGTTTTCAATAACAGAGTTCTCAGGCTGCCTCTTTTTCATTTCCATTTGAAGTTGGGGGGTGGGGAAGGGGGAGAGCTTTGGAGTGGGGTTTGGTGATGAGAATATACATACAAATGAAGATGAGTCAAGGCTGGAAGCATCCAGATGACCAGGATGCTTCGGGATGAAAAGGTTCCCGGGCACAGAGTCACAACTTCTATTCTCTTTAGGGACCCAAGAGATGACTGCAGGGCAAGACGAAGAGTCTGAATCTGTTTTTTTTTTTTTTTTTTTTTTTTTTTCGGTACGCGGGCCTCTCCCTGTTGTGGCCTCTCCCGTTGCAGAGCACAGGCTCCGGATGCACAGGCTCAGCGGCCATGGCTCACGGGCCCAGCCGCTCCGCGGCATGTGGGATCTTCCCGGACCGGGGCACGAACCCATGTCCCCTGCATCGGCAGGCGGACTCTCAACCACTGCGCCACCAGGGAAGCCCTGAATCTGTCTGTTTTAACAGGATGTGGCAGCCCAGGGACTGCTATGTAACTGCCCCTACTCGTATACCTCAAAGAGCACACAGGAGACAGAGGCACCCAATTAGATATGCATTTATTGTCCTTGGTATGTACAAGTGTCAATGTATTATTCATCACCTGCATCTTTTATCCACTTAATTAAATCCTGTACTTGCTCAGTGCTTAGCCTGTGTCCCTCCAACACAGGCCCCATGAGGTCCCAGAAAGCACTGGTCTTAGCTTAGCCCATGCAAATACAATAATAATAACATTAACAGCTAAAACTCATGGACTTTTTTCTTGTGCCAGGTATTTTGCTAAGGACCCCATTCATATCTCATTTAAATCTCAGAGTACCACCCTGAGATAGGGATCGTCATTATCTCTGTTTCACAGGTGGGAAAACTGAGGTTTGGAGAAATTAAATATCTTCCAAGAGCTAATTAGCTAGGGTCAGAAAAATCCAGGTAGTCCGGCTCAAGCCACTCTTTGAACCAGTCCCCTTCACGGCCTTATTAACTGACTTCTGACTGTTATTTCAGGTTCACTGGTGACCTGTGCTCATGCTCACTACGGGCTAAGATTAAAAACCCTCTACTGGGGCTTCCCTGGTGGCGCAGTGGTTAAGAATCTGCCTGCCAATGCAGGAGACACGGGTTCGAGCCCTGGTCCGGAAAGATCCCACATGCCACGGAGCAACTAAGCCCGTGCGCCATGACTACTGAGCCTGTGCCCTAGAGCCTTCGAGCCACAGCTACTGAAGCCCATGCACCTAGAGCCCGTGCTCCGCAACAACAGAAGCCACCGCAAAGAGAACCCGCGCATAGCAACGAAGACCCAACGCAGCCATAAATAAATAAATAAATAAATAATAAAATTTTAAAGAAAACCTCTACCGGACTCAGAGTGGTCACTCCTAAAGCACCTGTTCTCAGGGGCTCCATGTCTCCATTCTAACTCCACCTCACTCCCCCCTCATGGCACTTTCCTACCATGCAGCAGGCACTAGCTTAGCTTTGCATACCCTCTCTCCTTTGAGTCTCACAGCCTCCCTATGAGGTGGGCAGGGCAGGCCTTTTATCCCCACTCAACACAGGGAACTGGGCATAACAGGGATGGAGAGACTTGTCAAAGGTCACTGCAAGCATTTGGTACAGTTGGAATTCTAGCCCAGTTTTCTAGAGCCAAAGCCACCTCCTATTGCTGGTACTACATCTCAAGGTCATGATGAAGAAGGGAAGGAGACTCTCTAGGGTCCTTGGGTCTATGGCTTGTCCTCCTCTCACCAGAGGTCAGAAAATAACTCTCTGGGATTCACCAGAATGACTGACAACGGTGATTCCTTCCCAGTCAAGACTCTCCCCTTAATTATCTGTTCCTTCGGGTTATGCAGTTCCCCAAATTGGTCTTATGCTCAAGGCACAAATGTGCCCCAGGGGAGAGTCACACAGTAGCTTCCTAATTCTTTCATGTTGAGAGAGTTCACAATCCCTTTGCGACAGAAAGGAGCCCACCGAGCTAAAAGTGAGGCAAGGCGACGGGTAAAGGAGACAGCAGAAGGGAGGTGGGGACCGTAAGTCATAGAAAACTCCTTTAGAGTTTTGCCAAAGTTGGTCCAGCACACTGCAGACAGACTGCTGAGTTCAGGGACTGGGAGAAGGAGGCCTCCGTTTTCTCTTTGATCTTCTCTTCTGCTCTCTCCCCCTCACACTCATACTTGTTGATCTGGTGGTGTTAAAGCAATGCAGGATTCAAGAGGGCGTTCAGGTGATCAGGGTGGGGTTCATGGGGCTTTCTTGAAGGAAAGTCAGAGGCAGTCTGGCTGTTAATGAGGCAAACTATTCACCAGGGTCTTTAGAGTCAAAGGAATAATCCCAAAGACTAAATTCTCAAGAAGTTCATCATTTTTCAGCACAGCTAGCTTACCAGTTACCTTATGTGACCTTGGACAGATGGCCTATCCTCTCCAAACTCAGTTTCCTCAACTGCAAAATGAGGCTAGAAGAGACCTACCTCCTCAGGATTGGGTGAAGATCAAATGAGATAATCTAAGTTCTTTGTCAACTCTAAGCCAACAGAGAGATGTCATTATTCCTCATTCACTAATCACCTTTACCCCTAATTGGCTGTTGTACACAAAGTGAGTACCAGAATCTGCCATTAAATTGTTTTATTGGAAGAGATAAAAAGGCAACACAAACTGAAAAAAAGGTTAGCATAAGAGAGCAGACAGTCCTGGACTGAAGTCAACAGCAGCCTTGACAAGGAAATGCCAAGTTCTGTAACCTTTGCACCACACCTCAAAGGGCATTGGCCCCTGACTCACAGGTAACACAAATATTTTTTACTCCAATGTATTTCTTCGTTCAATACACTCATCCTGCTTTCCCTGGGTCCTCTCCACATTTATCAATATTATGACTGCCTTGTAAATAGTAACCTGAGTGTGATAAAAATATCACAGTCACTTATTTAAAATGCCAGCTTCTGGGTTCCATACCTAGATACTCTGGGGTGAGCCTCACAATGGGTGACCCCAGACCCATTCTTTCAGACCCTCTGCATCGGTTAAGTCCCAAAGGGCACAGACTGTGTCATTTAACCACCCAGAATATTGTCAGTGCCCAACACTCAGAAATGATGCTTGCTAATAAACAAGAAACACCAGGAAGTCTGAACACTTGCTTCTTAAAAGACGTAACACTTTGTCCCCAGTATCATTTCACAACTTCAACCAGTTGCATAATTCCCACCTCTCCTTAAGAATGAAATTCCAGCCACGTCAGTTTTCCTGTAGTGAACTTTTCTGACACCCCCACGCTGGATTAAGTGGCCCTCCGTTGTGGTTCCACAGCTCCCAGACCAGACCAGCACTTACCTTATATTCTAGTTGTCAACTTAACTGTTAATCTTCCCCCCACCAGCAAAAAGTTTGCCCCCTTCCCTGAGGACAAGTGCTGTGTCCCCTTCTCTTGTGTGTTTCCACAATCTAGACTGGTGATCGGCACTAAATCAGCAGTCGTTAATGAAATTGAACCACAAAGGGTATGGAATGGGATGGGACAGGTGATAAACACTTTGGGACGGAAGCGGGATGAGAACCCTCTGTGACGTTCTAGTACAAGGACCCTCTCCTAGGATGAGCCACACGACTCTGTGTCGTCGTTTTCAAGGACTGGAGATTTTTTACCTTGTCTGTGGTTTGGGGGTTTTGAGAAATTATTTCAAGGAGTGGACATCAAGAGATGCTCCTTTTAATGCTGTGGAAGTGTCTCAGTTTTTCACACTAATTTTGACATCTTGAAGCAACTGTTTCAACTAGCTGATATCAGAGGATCACTCACACTAAGGTTATATTTGTTTATGTAGCAAATTGTCATAAATTGTATTACTTTTCACCCATGTCTGGTTACCTCCTGTAAGGGGATCATGCTTACCCACACGGTTGAACTCCATATGGCCATGTGACTTACTCTGGCCAAGTACTGTGGGCAGAAGTGAACAGAAGCACCTCCAGATGAGGCTGTAAGAGTAATTTTAGGCTTCAGATGCCCAGGTCCCAGAACAAAGATAATGATAGGAGCAGAGCCCCAACTGACACACAATGGACATAGAGTGTGGGCAAGAAATGAACATTGTTTTGCTGTAAGCCCTGGCATTTAGGATTTGTTACTGCCACATAACCTGGGGTTTCTTGGCTTGTGTCCAGATACCCACACGTCCCCTTTCTTTAATCAATGAAAATGTTCACACACAACTAGCTCATTTTGTAATTTTAAGAAACATATTTCTTTTTTTTTGGCCACGCCACGTGGCATGTGGGATCTTAGTTCCCCAACCAGGGATCGAACCTGGGCCCCCGGAAGTGAGAGTGCTGAGTCCTAACCACTGGACCACCAGGGAATTCCCAGAAAATATATTTCTTAATATATACTCTGTGGGTCTCAGTTTCCATGTCTGTAAAGTAAGGGAAAGAATAGTAACATAATGATAATATCAAATGTTAATTAAATGCTTATCATGTGTCAGGCTGAGTACTTTATTTTTTAATTAATTTATTTTTTTGGCTGTGCAGCATGCCGGATCTTAGTTCCCTGACCAGGGATTGAACCCGCACCCCCCTGCTGTGGAAGCGTGGAGTCTTAACCACCGGACAGCCAGAGAAGTCCCAGGCTGAGTACTTAGAAAAAGTATCTCATTTTATCCTTACAACAACCCAATGAGGTAGGCATTATTATTATTATCATTATACAGACAAGGGAACAGAGGCCTGGAGAGGTTAGGAAACTTGCCCAAGGAAATAAAGATACTAAGAATAATTAGTGATGGAATGAAATGATCTGGCACCAGAGCCTATTCTCCTGACTTCTGTGCTGTATCTGTGGGGTCATCTCTAAGATCCTGTCCATCTGGGACCCACTAAGACTCTGTGACACTGCCATATGGTAACAACTGCCCTAGGTCTTCAATTTTGAAACCAAGACGCATTTCCACCACTGCCCTTCTCTTGCAGGTTTAAGAAGATCATGTGTGCTGTGCTTTGAACATCTTGGAGGAAGCCACCAGAGAAATGGAGGGGATGTCCCAGGCCACAGAGGAGGATGTGCCTCCCCTGGGTGCAGGGTCTGCTCCAGTTACTTTCCTCTCCAAAGTTGCTGCCTTGCTGTGTGAGAAATGTGCCACCAAAGCAGAAAGCCTGCCTGCTCTTGCCGGCAGATTTTTACAGAGATGGAGGTCCCTTACTGGAGAAGTGGTAGCCAGAGCGGGGGCTTCCTCTGGGGGAGGCCGGGATGAGGAGGTGTGGCCTCATTGTGTGGCTCTGGACTCAGGTTTGCAGCCCCAGGTCACAGGGGAATTTTGTTCATTTTATCCTACTAATCCTCACAACAGGCACACCTCAGCCCCCTAAGAAAGGAGCAAGGCATAAGAATTTTCCCTAGTGGAAGCCCAACTGCTTTCACAGAATGACATTGGAGGAACACACACTGACTTCCCGTATCTTGAGCCCAGTGAGACCCTGCAAGGAACCTGCATCCATCTCCCTTCTTCTGTTAGGCAGAAAGGCTGTTTTGAGAAGACACTTTCATTCTCTCTTGATGACCTGGCTCTGGAGATTGAAAAAAGCTCACTGAGTCCAACTGACCTGAAAAGAAACTGGTTCCTTCAGAAGAACAGAAATGCCAAACTAAGGGCCTCCAGAGTCTCTCAGCCAGACGGCAGTAATGAAGCTCTCACCCATCAACCTGTCCCCAGAACAATCCTGAACTCCTTCCAAGGCTCTTGCAGATTCAATCCTGGGGTCTTGTCATGGAAAGAGCCCAGAAGTAGACTCTTGGCTCTGTCATTATCTAGTTGTATGACTGTGGGCAAGCCACTTCACTTCTCTGGATCTGCACCTCCTTCTCTGTGAACGATGGAGTTGGATGAGACAACCTCTAAGTATGCTCCCAGCAGTATGATTCCAGGATGCCATGGGGTCTGTGGTTCTGGGACCATATTGTCGTAACTGTCTTGCCTGACCATTGGCAAGAATGGCATCATTGGTTTACCTCCTCCCATCCACTCCACCCTCCCTAAGTGTTACTGGAAGACTGGTGTCTCTTAACTTCTGTCCCTCTACCCACCATCCAGCCACATTTAACTCTCCTGTCCCCACTACCAGTGTGTACAACCTGTGGAGGGGAAGTACAGATGGATGCCACCAAAGGTCATCAGCCACTTTGTTTTGACCCTCAGCAGCTCTGGCAAAGGACACGGCAGAATTGCTGTTGGGGTGTATATGAGGATTTCACTCACCTGCCTTCTCATCTTCCGTTAGCTGCCTGAGTTCACAGAGATTTGGTTCCATTTTGGCATCCCTAAGAGTAGAGTTGAAGCATGAGAGGGGCAAGATGGATTTTTTTAGGGCCCTAAGCAATATGATGTGAGTAACCCCTCACGGTTTTCTACGAAAAAGAGTTCTACCAACGGTTGATGGTCAATGACATCAGCAAATCAACCCCCTGCTCAGGCTCCTCTGATCACAACTCCAGTGCCCCCCATTCAGATGCTCTTCACCATGCCTTCCTCTGGGCAACTAAATTCTTACTCCCTCCCCTACAGGGGAGTGTCCTGCAGTACTCCCCCCCTACCCCCAGCTGATCTGGGCCCTAACTCATTGGTGCTGACTCAAAGAAAAGCAGACCCCTCAGGCGGCCGGAGGGTGGACCTGGGCCAGAGCCTGCAGGAGTGGGCAGGAGGGCAAGCAGAGGCAGGAAACCCATCAATCAGCCTGTCACCAAGTCTTTGCTGATCCCCTCCCCACACTCCCTACTGGGACTTGGTCCCATGCCGAGCTGCACAGTGGGGTCCCAGAGAAGGAAGGGGAGAAGACAGGAGTCTTTATTTCGTAGCAGCTAAAGATGTAAAGATGGAGCTCATTCTTTCTGGGGGTCCCTCCCCAAGTGTGCTAAGCCACCGTCACTCACAGGAGGAAGGTCTGAGTACTGCAGGTAAAGGCTGCCACAGTGGAGTTTAGGGAAAGGGGCAGCCAGGGTAGGGTTTTGAATCTGTATTTGCAAAGTTTTAGACATAAGAGTGAGATAATGTCAGTTGTTTATAAGAGAGGAGGCAAATGGAAACGCCCTCAAATTGACACCCTTGGTGCTACCACTGCCACCAGCCCCCCCTTTTCTCTCCTACAGGCTTGCTGGGTATGGGGTAACTCCTTTGAGTTAAAGCACTGTGTTTTTAAAATGTCCCTGCTAAAATGAATCAACTACGCTACTCTGAGAGTGTCTTTTTAACCCTGTTAGCACCCAGGACTGCATTTGCAGAGAGGGAATACAGGCCCATAAAAGATTCAGGGGCACAGTAAAGTGACTTTGGGATGAGGAGGATAAACTTTAGAACCGCAGAGCCCTAAGCAGTGAAATCGTGACTCAATGACTTAACCTTGTGTAACTGAACTAGGGGCAGTTAGTCAACTCCTTTGAGGCTTAGTTTCCCCATTTAGTGAAGAGGAGTGTACAGCAGCAACCTCCACGGGGCCTCGGTCGGAGAGGCACAGTACTAGCACTGCATTGGCACTCTGTTGGGAAATGATACACAGGCACTGAGTAAAGACGAGAATGGGGAGAAATGAGCTCGTGGGCAGGGAGTGCCAGAGAAAACAGCACTTTCTCGTCCTTCTGAGGCCAGGCTTGACGAGCAAAACGTATCCAGGGCTCCCTCTGCTGTCCACTCTTTACACCCACCTTCTTGTATCAAATACATCGTGCCCAGGGTCCCGAGCCTGGGGTGCAGAATGGGTACGTGCCCTAATTTAATCAGTGGAGTCCTGTTTGCACTTTGTTAATGTTATTTCTTGAAAACTTTCTTTCCTTTCCATTCTGCTGTTCCTTCCCTAATTTTATGCCTTTGTCTCAGGCCTAGGTTGGCTCTCCCATCACCAATATCCTTCACAATATATCACTCTCAAAAAATCTCAGTCTCTTTATCTGTAAAAAGAAAATGTTCTCTGAAGTTGAAGCCAGTAAAATAACAGAGTTAAAGTTCGATAACGGAACTTCTAGGTTCAAAGTTCATCCTTTTTCCACATTATCAACTTTCTCTGAAGTGTGTGACCTTAAACATAACATTTAACTTCTCTAAGCTTTTTCCTCAACTGTAAAATGGAGGAAACAATTGTATTCATCCCATGAGCTTTGGTGTGAGGAGAAAGGGAGACAATGAAGGAGCAAAGGAGAATCGACAACAGAAAGAGCACAGTCGATACTTGCTATGGTCTTAAAGCACAGTGCATTCAAGTAACTGGAGCAAGTTAGGTGCTTAGAGTGGAAAGAGAACATGAAAACAGATAAGACTGGAAAGGTAAACAGGAGTCAAGTCATGAAGAGCGTTGGAAAATATGGTCCCACAGTCAGCCAGTGCAGGCTGTCACAAGGATTACATGAGTTTATACGGGTCAAGCCCTTAGAACACAGGCCCACCACAAGGCGCATGTGTTAGGTATTCCTGATAAAACTCTCCCGCTGCTAATCACGACTTAAAACGAAAGCAGGGAAATTTGTGAGAACAGCCTTGAGTCGATGAGTTAAGGAATAGTTGCTTGAAGGAGAAAAGACTTAGAAAAAAAGAACATCAGGAAAGAGAAGTGAAGACCCACGTCAACCCTGTAATACCAGCCTTTGAATGTTAACAAATTACACCATTTCATGCGCATGTGTGCACACTCATGCACGCACACACACACACAGCTCCCTCTCAACAGAGAGAAGCCCCTCTCCTACTGGCTCCCTTTCAAGCCATACCTCCACTCAGCAACCTGTTGGCTCTGCCCAGTGGTAGCGCCATTAGGGCATCTCCCTGCATCAGTGTAATCTTTTGACCTACTTCTGGGGGGCCATGCTCTCACTTAGGTTCACCCACTGGTCTGTGTCTTCAATGCTCTAGTTACTCAATTGGAAAGCCCAGTGTTTTTTTTGTTGTTGTTGTTGTTTTTTAATTATTTTTTTGCTGAACGCGGGCCTCTCATCGCTGTGGCCCCTCCCGTTGCGGAGCACAGGCTCAGCGGCCATGGCTCACGGGCCCAGCCACTCCACAGCGTGTGGGATCTTCCCGGGACCGGGGCACGAACCCGCGTCCCCCGCGTCCCCTGCATTGGCAGGCGGACTCCCAACCACTGCGCCACCAGGTAAGCCCAAGCCCAGTGTTTTTGACAGTGTATTTATTTAATACTTTCCTCCTGTACTGACCTTCTGAAAGGGGAAAAAAAAAAAAAATTCTTGAAGACTCTGAAAATGTGGTTTAGAGACCTGGACACCCTAAGTTTGACAAATGCTTGATAAATAAAATCTTATTCAATTAAATGCGTTATCACTACAGAAGAGTTTTGTTTTTACAACTGGTAAAAAGTTTTTAGT